AAACAAGAGGTTTGGTTTTTTTGCCAAAAAATGTACTTGTTAGAACTAATAAATTTTCACATCATACTGTGAAATCTCTATGTACATTCACAACAGTTGAAGGAAGAACCAAGATGGATTTTAAACTCTTGAGGATGTTTAGTTCAAGTCTTGTCTTCATTTAGGCTTTCCTCCATGTGGTATCTTGTATGTTGTGAGATACAGCTGAATTTCTCCATGCAAAATAATACCTTTAACTAACGGTTCTAATTTTTATACCCACTACATCTATAAAACGTAAAGTGAAGATTGAAGCTCTCTTATTTACTGTGTTGTACATATAATACAAATATATTTTACCTACTTTTTAAAGATAATTGCAATAGATGATTACAGGAATAGGTCCATTAAAAACGGTGAGTCTGGATTTAAGTTTTGATGCCAACATCTACCATTAATGTATGCGTTTTTAATATTTTTAAATTCTTCTGTGAAAGCATAGACTTGACATGATTCTGTATGACTCCAAAATATGTATTATTTCACACATTTCAACAGCTCTTCTGGTGCTGTCCTAGTCTTGTAAATGAGTAGTTTATTTTTTCCACATGTGAATTATTACCTATTAAATCATGGGAAACCGTGAGTAAAAGTACAAAAATGCTTTTGAATGTGAATTCCTAGCCCTATCAATATAATGTAGAGCCACCAAATAGATTAATTTGAATATTGACTAAAATGCCTTGTAATGACTTAACTTATTGAAAATAAGTTTATTACTTTATAAATTCTGAACAGATATTTAACTGTAGTATCTCTAATATACAAATATTGTTCTCCATCTATAGTATAACTTTTACAAATTGAAGCTTTCACACAGGGATTGACCAGTGATGAGAACTGAATAAAGTGGGTAAGAAACTAGTCAGTTTTGTGGTTGCCCATTGGGTTTCAAGTGGCAGAAATGAAATTCTCCAGTCTTGTCAATTCCACTTGGCTGTTGGGAAAGCAGCAGAGGTGCTGACATGGCTTGCCTCCTCATAGACTTAGGATCGAAGTTCACTGGTTACTATTGCAACCATAAATACTAGAAAAACTTACAAAAAAAAAAGCAGCTTACATTCTGTGGAAAGTGATGGCTTAGACCTCATCTCTCCTGTTGTTATGGAAAATTTCCTACTCTCTACTGGAGAATGGTTTTCTTTAGCTGATATTTAATGTATCTGTGTTGAGACAGTCAAAAGTGACTCCAATATAGGCAAAGAAATTTTTGAAAACTGAGGCAATATAAATTGTCAGCAACAGCAGTGTATGAGTGATTCCTACCTTCCTATAGTCGCTCTCTAAAATAACAAAATGTTTACAGCTAGAATAACATCGCCAAGCTTAAAAATTAACGTTTTCCACAAGCTTTAAATCTTGGGAGAGAGGAGTGTGTTCACTTTAAAGCTGGTATATGTTCCTGATTGATTCTAGCCTTTTGAGCTTTTTCAAATAAAAAGGCAAGGAGTAGTCTTATGGAAATAATCAAAACCCATCCGCAGTTATTAAGCCTTTCTGATATTGTAGCGTATCCTTCAGTAGGCATACACTAAAAAACTACAAAGCAGCAAATCAGGCAGCTGACTGTAATATGTTTGAGACAATCAGAAATGCTGTTGGTATAAATGGTGCCATTAGTGTACCCTGAGATGATTGAAT